TATATATATATATATATATATATATATATATATAAATTTTATCCAAACAGGGTGTGTTTTTTTTAAATGCAACATTTCTGTTACTTTAAATTAGTAACCTGTAAATTTGTTATTATTAAAAGTATCTTGCAGAAAGATATTAGTGCTAGAGAGGTTTGCCGCTGAAAGCCCCCCAAAAAATATGCCACTGGTCTACAACGGCCTCGCTGGGAAGATCAATTTTTTTTAAAAGTAATTTTAGCCATTATCTAGGGTCACTGCAGACTTTTTGCTGAAAGTTTTGTTTTTGTAAATTTGTGAAAAAGCTATTCATAGTTTCATGAATTTGTAAACATGGGGTCCCCTGTTTTTGTGAAAAATCTCATAACGGAATTCCCTGCGTTTCCAGTAACACAAACAAGTATTGGTCTGAATCAGTTAGGATAAGTGGAGTTTTGTATTTTGATTTACAAATTTTCAATTGAAAGGATCTACCAAATCTGCCTTCAATTTTTAAATACAAATTGATCATTTTTCAATATGGACAAAACTTATAATTTTTTTTAAAGATTTTGTTTTCCAATATGCATTATGTTTTTAACTTTTGATTCATCTCATAAAAAATTTAATTTACATGCTTTCCTATTTCTTACAGTTATGGAACAGAATATTGAACAATCAGAGCAGTCAGATATGTCATCAGCAGATTTCAGGATACGCAAAACACAAGTATGTTTTATAGAGTTATCTTTTTCTTTAATAATAATTTAAAAAGATAAAGGTAGTTATTTGATATTATTTAGGTTTCATGCTAAATAATTTAAAATTTCAATCAAAACTAGTTTTGCTCAACTTTAATTTCCAAAATTTTTAAGAAGATATTCATTTTTAACTGCTTTGATTTCATTGTATACAGTGCTGTAGTTGGGGTGGAGAATGTGGGGGGAACTCTGTTCCCTGAATTCTTTGGTTTGCTGTAGTAAATTTTTTTTTTAAATATTTGATAGAAATTTAAAATTGAAAAGCCTTATTAGTGATGCATAAAAACTGAATATGTCACATCAACAACCAATATTTTTGCACTATTACCAAAAAGTTGGTAATGTTCAATTGATAGATATAAGGTTTACAACTTTGTAAATATTAATTAAATTTAATTAGACTTTTCAATTTAATTAAATTTCTTCAATACAAATATATATTTTTGAAACCAGTAAAAAAAAGGAATAAAGCATTTTTTACTTCAATTTTATTGTTAAAAGGTACAAAATACTTCATTTTAATTTGTAGCTGCATCACGTTGATTTTAAATGTCTTCAATAGTAATATATTTGATATTATTTTAACATTAATTTATTTAGTTTTGAAATTAATGAAAAAATCAAAGCATTTTCATAAATAATATTCCATTTATATAAAGAGTACTGAGTGATGAAAAGATATGTAATTGTGATTACATTAGTTACTAGGTTAAACTTATAAAGCAAATCAAAATAATTTCAAATTAGTTTCATAACTTCAAAGTAAATTGATTGGAAATGTAATTTTAAAAAAGGATATAATTGTTAACTCAATGGCCAAATGTGGAACAAAATGTTTTTTTTTTTCAAGTGAGCTCAATTTGAAAAATACCGAATGTTTTCTGTGCTATTTTGACTAACTCTGAATTCTTTGTATTAATTCATTATTTTTCTTTAATATTAGCACTACTTAAATAAATTTGTTCGTATTGCAATAGTAATAAAACATAACTTATTTTACATTTTTATGAAATTATTATACTTTTTTATTTATCCAGTTTTTTAATTTCTTTTTAATTAATTACTCCATAAATTATGTAACTTATTCAGTCATATGAACATCTAATTATTCAAATTCTTTGACATTCAACCAAACCAGATCTTTAGCATAGGTGACTGTATGTCTAACATCTCTATTTAACACTTTTGACAGGCATTTGATTGTTTCAGTATCATCATTTTTTGCAAAATTTTTCATTTTTATTTAGGAAACACTTATTTTTTTAAAAATTAAATTACCTGCTTTTTTTTTCCTAGCATTCTATGTTGTCTCAAAAATTTGTTGAAGTTATGACAGACTACAACAAGACTCAAACAGATTATAGGGAACGATGCAAGGCTCGTATTCAAAGACAACTAGAAATAAGTAAATAAACTTTTAAATTTTATTTGTTTGCATGACTATTGATAGACTGTGTGCTCTCATAATTTATCAAAGCAAAAATTTCTTGGTTTGTAGACATTTATGTATTTGTATATATTATGAAAAAGTACATCTTAATATATTTGCAAAGTAACCAAACATCCAAAGTTGGATGAAGGTTTCACACGTCCCTTAAGACAAAAATGAAGGAACCATTATTTAAAATTGTAGATACAAAATAAAAATCTCTGCAAATTTCCTATTATTTAAAAATTTAATTTAAAAAAACTATTTTTTGAGAATTTTGACTAGGCTTTCTGTTGTCCCATTCCTTGAGATGATTACTCCATCTCCCCCCCCCCCTTGAGTNTCCTTGAGATGATTACTCCATCCCCCCCCCCCCCTTGAGTACAACTTTGAAAACATCATAATGTCACAACTTATCTTAACCTTATATTATCACACAGTAGTATAGCTATGTCTACAGCTCTTCTTTTATGGTCTCGTGGTCAATAATGGGCATCAAAGGCATGCCTGTTTAGCATTTCCCACAATTAGGAGTAAACAATTCAAGCTTTACACTATAGGATCCATTGATGTTACATTATAGTTAGACTTATATTAATAAATGAGTATACCTTCTATAAGTTTACCATTGTAAACTATTTACGTTGAATCACTACTCCATTGTAAACTATTACAAAATCATCAGCCAGTTGGTTAGCCTTTCTAGTATCTATACTATTTGGTCAGCATAATTGTTTTGAGTGTTTCCCACGACTCATAAATCAAGAACCAACTTTCAAATGTACCTACTAGGACTGTGGGATACTATCGGCTTCTGAAACCTTTCTTTGTCTATTGTATGCTAAAACTCATCTAATCATACAAATCCTTTTCCATGTTAAGCGAAGAATGCTTTATGAAAAACTTCTTTAAAGGGTTTTACAGTATTGTGCTATAATTCTAATGAAAAAAATTTTTTTTTTCAATATTAACACAATTTTATATAGATTTAATATCAATGGCTGTCAAATATTTTTAATAGTGAATTAACAGTTACTCTTACAATTAGCTATGATAAACTATAAATGGCAAACTTAGCTCGCTTACTTTGCTTCAGCCTGCTCAGAAATATTTCATTAGCTTTATGCACTTTATATTGATTTTTTAAGCAATTTATTCCAAATCGTTTGTAATCAACATCTCCCTAACTTACAAAATTTTTGAGTTTTGTTAATTGATTGATTTATGTTTAGCTACTTCTTTAATAAATGTTCCTTCCAATTTCAATTTAGATACAAGTTTTCTAAATCTAAAAAATCATTTTTATTTTTAGCTGGAAAAGTTACGACAAATGATGAATTAGAAGAAATGTTAGAAAGTGGTAATTCTGCAATATTCACACAAGGAGTATGAAACATTCTGTCTTATAACTGATGAATAATGTTAATATTTTATTTTTTGTCTTTATTGATTATCCAGATATTGTTATAATTTTTTTAATTCCATAAGCGTAACTTATTAAGCTTTATTTAGAAGAATTTATGTATAAACTTTTTTTAAACTGGTTTCTTTTATTGAACATTAGAAGTTTATTTTCTGTATTTTTTCCCTTCCCTTAATCCCTTTTTCTTCACATTTTTAATGCTTCGCTTTTATTAGTACAGCTTTTATTTATACTTCCTATTGCAAGCGTCTTGAAATTCTTTGTGCTAAGTTGTTATGATGCATAAAAGAGCAAAGCTGTGCCCAATATTTTAGTAAAATTTTACATAAAAGCGAAAAGTTGGATTTAATATCCAATTTTTGAGCATGCTGGCTCCTAATAGTTGGTCCTAGTTCTTCAAAATTTTCCATGTTTGTGGACCCGAGTTCTATTGTTATCTTATAATGCATTAAGTTATTTCCTTTTTTTCTTTTGAAATTCTTTATAAAGGAAAGTTCGAGAACTGTAACTTACTAAATTAAATATTTTTTAAGAAATAATCAAAAGACTTAAATATTATTTAAAAGGAAAATGAATGTTTATGTATATAAAGGTTGAAAGAAAGTTTGGAAACTGTGAAATATATTTTGTGTAATATATATATCGAACTCAAATAGTGAAAATGGGCTCATTTTAATATTTTTTTGAAAACTTGATCTTGTGGAGATGGGCTGGGACAACTTAGAAAACCTGAACCCCTATTTTTTTATTACAGATTTATATTCTCCTGAAAAGAATAATCAGATTCGACTTTTAGGTTTATGCATTTTAATACATCTTGTGCATATATATATATATATATATGCATGCACAAGATGATAATCCAAGAAAACAGAAAAATTGTTTAAAAGGATTTTAAGAAAAAAAGAATAAAAAAAGTTAAAAAGCATTTAAAAAAATTAAAAACTAAAAAAATGAACAACAAAAATATAATATCCTTATCAACCTAAATGATTAAACTATAGTTGCAGCTTATGTACAGTAAACAAAACTAAAAACTTGATTATTTTTTGTAATTTTCTCATCTCTTTCAAACTTAATTATTTCTTGTATTTACATGCCTGGTAACAGAAACCTTCCAGCACCAGAAGGACCTTAACAGATTATTTTTTGTCTAAGTTTTCTTTTATTTTTAAAAAGAAAACAAACTAGAGGAGCATTTTTTAGACTCTGTTTTAAATACATGTGTAAACTTGTTTCTAATTTTTGGGACTCTACTGGTACACCAGTAGAGGAATATTGTGGTACAACAATATTTTTTTTAAGACGCATGTGTTTAGATATTCAAAGTCAAATTAGGTCACAATCATACTTTTACCTAGCGTAAGAAGGTCAAATAAGATATGGATAGAGGGTTAACTCCTTAATTTTGAAGTTTTCCTTTTTTACAATTAGGGAAAAAGTTACAACCATTTGTATGCATGCAAGTTTATCATTTTTATGAAAATTTTAGATTTTTAATTGGACAATTTTAATCATTAAAATCTTAAAATAGGAAGAATTTTTAACATTATCACAAGTGTCCATTACCCGAATTTCATTATAATCGAAGGAAGGTTGGTCCAAAAGCGATTAATGTGACTTGGAATGACTCAGTTATTCAATATAGAGAAATAAAAATTATTTTACTTAGTCTTGAAATGAAACTTTTATAAATGTATTTAATTAAATTGACTGTATTTGTAGCTGAATGTTTTAATTTTGATACCATTGTTTTTCTAATTATTTTCTGATTTCCATATTTTAAGATCATTATGGACACACAGCAAGCTAAACAAACTCTTGCTGATATTGAAGCTAGGCATGCTGACATCATTAAATTGGAGACTAGTATTCGAGAGTTGCATGATATGTTCATGGATATGGCTATGCTTGTCGAAAGTCAGGTTTGTAATTTTTTCTTTTCAAAATATTGTTTGAAAAATCATTTGATTTGTATAACTCTCTGATTGACAAGCATCACAATATTTAATGCTCCGGGTGCGTAGCGTTTTTAAATAGTGCTTAAAGGTGCTTATTTTCGATTTTCGTTTTTTAAAAGCCCTTAAAGTTGCTTTTCCTAATGGGTGTTTTTAAAAAGTGCTTATTTTTCCTTTACCAGAATGAGATATTTTCTCTTTACCATGTTGATTTTTGACACGAATGATGCAAAAAGACACAGTCCTTTTCAACGTTTTTACAATTAATTCAACCCCAATCTATATCGACTTTCCGTCGGTCCGTAGTGTATGAAAACACCATTCGTTTTACATGTTAGATGAAATACTTGCAGATCCGCATTTGCGTATACTGATCTGGATTCAGTGGGAAGGATCTTTGTCTCTCATGTGCAATTATGCTGCATTTTGCAAGAGATTATCAATTTCAGACTTCATTTTCCGCCCTCTGGAATCGAACTGAAAAATCTCTAGAATTTTTGCTGATTACTGGGACTGACTAAACATTGTAAATTTTTTTTTCTCTAATAGCGATAGAAAATTTTACTGCTCTTGTTAATTTCATCATTGGTGACGTGTCATCGTCTTTGTCACTGGCAAGCAAATCAAACCGGATTAAACCATCAGTTGTCAAAAACTTACCAACCCTGACTAATTACGATATTTTTTTGAAGTGCTTAAAAATATTATTTAAGTGCTTGAAAAGTGCTGAAAAGGTGCTTATTTTTTATTGAAAAATTTGCACCATACTGCTAAACCTAGAGTTAATTTTAATATAAATCACATATTTATGGTTAACCAGTTCAACTTCTTGCCTGTATATATTCATTAACTATATCTCTGTGTCTCCACATCAAATCTCAATGCTGGATTGGTAATGGTATGTAGTAATATTGGATGATATTACCTATTTTAATCTATTATAATAATTTACTAAAGTAAACAATATTTTATGACTCATTCTCTAAACGTAAACGTTTGGAAATATTTAGTACTGCCATAGACAACAACAACTTAAGTAAACACCATAACATGACTTTCAAATAAAATCTTTTTATTTATTTCTCTTTGCTGTAGTTAAAAATTTCTGCTTTACTGCTAAAAAAAATCTTTTTAATTAAGACATTAAAAAAAAACTTCAATAACGTAAGTAAAGTTACAATACTAGAAATACATGAACAGTAATCAAATTATTGTGCTAGCTAAAATAATTTCATTGTATCGTATATTTTCATGCACTCTTGCTTTTATCACTGTAATGCTTAATATGCGTTCTTACATTATAAATAGCATTTGAATTCAGACAGTGTACATGCACACTTCTTAAAATGGAAAATTTAAAAATAAATTGGATATTTGAATCTTTAATCAAGGTATAGGAATTCTTTGACATAACAGTAAAAACTGTGATATTTAACATCCTGTTGAAAACCATTCCATTCTGTCCGTAGTTTGATTTTGTAGAAATTTATTTTAGCGATGTGAACATTTTAAAAAATGAGCAATAAATTATACTATAAAATTTACACCATATTATTTAAACTATTTTTAAATATGAATCAGTATATTTAAAATATGTTGAAAGAAGAAATTAAAAGTAAATGATTTTGACGTTTTGTCTAAAACTATCCTAAATTAGATAGTGTTGTGTAATTTAGAATACAATACCAAACAGTTAAGTTAGTAAAGAGTAATAATCCTTTATTACTTACCATAAAATATTATCACCCATTAACCTTTTTCCGAACTTTTTACTGCATGCTTTTCTGCATCAAAAATAATTAAGAACTTGTTTTGTTTAAATTACTGAAAATTATGGGCATTTTAATGACCAAGTTTTATAGATATTATTTGAGTTTGGAATTTAAATTGATTTAGAACTTAAAATTTTCTGGTAGAAATTTTCTCGTTACACTTGATAAATTTTTAAAATATATTAAATATTTATAATAGTATATATTAAAAGTACTATATTACTTATATACTAAAATTAATATAACTTACTAATATATTAAAAGCATTATATTAGTACTATATTTTATATAGTGATTATTAAAATACAGTAAAAAAATCGCCATATTTTTTATATGCAGTAAGTTAATGGTTTCATGTGTATTTGAAAGTGTTCTATATTTATAGGGAGAAATGATAGATAGAATTGAATATCATTGTGAGCATGCTAAAGATTATGTAGGAGAAGCTGTGAAAGATACCAAACAAGCTTTGGCTTATCAGAGTAAAGCTCGAAGAGTATGTATATATTTTGTTTTTCTTAGTTTATTGTCAATGTTTTCTAATTGTCCTCAAAAATAGAAATTTAAGAAGTCAGAGCTTATGAAGAAAAAAATGACATTATAAGTATCCGGTAGCTAACTCACAATATTTCACATTAATTAAGCTCATATATGGTTTAGCCAATCTTTAATAATATTTTTATATATTTTGTTTATATTTATTATTTGTTTGTTCGTTTTAACTGCTGAGATAGTTAAAGTATAATAATTCTAACATTATGTTAATGAGTTCTAGACTAAATGCAAATGGTGTAAATATAATTGTTAAAGTATCTTTTTGGTATTATTTTGACAGGGCAATCATTGTTAATATCATTTCAAAGTTGCTGTTTATCTAAACAGATAAAAATTTATTAATCCATTAACCATCCCCTCATCATAATGTGCAGTGAAAATGGTTATAGTTGACGGAAGTCTGTTCATTTCATCTATACATTAATACAAATAAGCATATTAATGCATTGACCCCCCACCGATGACAAAGTCTGGGTTGTTATCAGCTGTGAGCATTTCAAATGATTGAAAACACTGTGTAATTGTGAGCATTCCATTGCAATAGACCTTGATTGAGAGCTACGCAATTAGTTTGTCATTCAAAACATGGTAACGTTGTACAGTGCTGCCATCTATTATAGAAGAATGAAAAAATTACTTATTTGTTATTCTGGGTAAAAAATCTGTGGGGGTGCGGGGAAAATGCTCTTTGATATCTGCTGAAATCAAATCACTGACTTTTGAAGCTAAGCCAGATTATCTGCTCCTCTATAGAAGTGTAGGAGGCATATTTTTGATCAAAAAATGCTTTATCTTGTTTTGATTTAAATTATATTGTTATAAGTTTCTAGGGAAGGTGACAATATTACATTTTATCACAATATTACAGTTACAGAATTTAAGTCTCAAAAGTATTTTCATGATCACAATTTTGCATTTCATTTTAATTAAGTTTTTATTTTTAAGTTTAAATCTAAGCATGCTATATTTATTTATTTTATCTTCTGTTTTGTATGATTTTTTCCTTTTATTAACTTCATTATTTTATTCCCCCCCTCCTTTTAATTTAGTTTTAATGGTTTTCATTTTATAATTTTGTTTGTTTGATTTTGTTTCTTCTTTACATTTTTGTTTATTTTTTATAGAAAATGATTTGCTTGATTATAACAGGAATCATCGTTTTAGTCATTATAGTCATCATCATAGTATACTCTGCTGGGGGATTTAATTAGTGATAGAACTTTTTAAAATCAAAAGAAAGAGCTACACAGTTTATATATGGATCATATAAAGTCTATGGGAACAACAATGTACAACTACAAAATGTTTACAGTTTTATTAATCATTTTGATTATTTTTATTGCAAAATTCCTGAACTTTTATGATTTTATTTTTCATACCAAATATTGAAATTCATGATAGCAATTGTAGATCTTTTTAATTCTATGCATACTTCAGTAGTTTGCAATCATCAGCATAAATTTCATTTTATGTTTAATTGAATGAAAAGTCATTTTTAAGACTGCCACATGATTTTGTGTTGTTGTGAATAATGTCTAATTTATTTTGTAGATACTTAAATGAATTTAGATGGTTGTTTTGTATAATTATGTCTAATAAGTGCCTATATTTTATTTATTTTTAATCAGCATTATTTGAACTTTGTGTTGGTTATTTCCTTTAGAGAAGCCAAACCCAATTACTTAACTTTGGTGATTAGTAGAGGAAAAAGTGCGTACTGTTACGAATGAGTGAAAACGTGTATAATTTTGTAAACTGGCCCAGGGTCTTCCTCAAAATCAAGTTCAAAGCTGCCCTCTTCTTGGATAAACTCATCCAGTTTTTAAATTTGAGAACTCTTAACTCTGTACGCAGTCAATCCATCGGATCATTGGTCTTACCCTTTTAGGCTCCAAATCGTTTTGCGTCGAAGATTTTTTTGGTGGCCCAGTCATCTTTCAATCTAATCAGGTGTTCTTCCCATTTTAGTTTTTAAACTGATATAAATTTTATTGTGTCTGATTCTTTGTAGACCCTATAAAGTTCTGAATTAGTTATTTCTCTCCAACAATCATTACATTTTTCTTTCAAAGTCACTAAAACTTCCTTCTCCCCTTCAGTCACTGCCCACGTTTCAGCAAGCGTATGTAACTATGGGTTTGATCAAAACTACGTAGAGTAGTAATTTTGTTTTCCTGCTGATGAGACTAGATTTCAAATTCTTTTGTATTCCATAGAAACATCTATTACCAGCAGTTATTCTGTTACGAACTTCTGGCGTTACGTCATTTATAGTGTTCAATTCAGAGCCTAAATAGGTGAAACTATTAACTACTTCAAAACTGTAGTCACCTATTTTGAGATGGGTGTCATTAAAATTGTTAGACTTCATGTATTGTGCTTGGTTGATTAAAAGATGCATTTTCTTTTCCTCTTTTTCCAAGGAAAATAATATTGTAATTATCCTTAATGTGTGAACTGTCTGAGGTTTCAAAGCCTGTGATTTATTTTTGATTATCCGGTTCTTCTTGTTGTAATTGAGTGTTGAAAATTGCTATATTTTCTGGAAGACTCCACTAATAAATTTTCAGAGTCTTAAGGACTGTTTTATTCATCTGCCAATTGACATGAACCCCAGTGCTCGGTACAATACCTTTACATGAAACTGATTAAAATGAGTCAAGTATTTGCGACTGCTCCTTATATTTCTTTAACTAGCACAATGTGCAAAACAATAAAAGGAATACCTTGGGAACTTTCGATTTAATGACCATATTTTGACATAGTGTTAAAATATAGTCTTCTCCGTTCTAGGGATTAACCTTATGTATAACTAATTTAAGCAAGCAATATTTTAAATCACAAAATGCATACTTTCTTTGAATTACCCTGATTATTGTCGACGTATTTGAATTTTTGACTCTCAAAATATAGGGAGTAGTTGCAATCTGAAAAATATTCCAAAAATTTAGTTAAAAGCCCATAAGGTTAATCATAAGATGGCATGTTAGTTCGTGAACATTTAATCATTAAAAAAGAAACCATCAAGATGTGTTTTAGATTTTACAATCTGTACATTGATAGATAGATGTAATTTCTTAATTTTTATATCTATGAGAAATTAACAGCTTGTGTTTATTAGTTTTTTAAGTCTTAACTTAAGAGTCACAAATTTTATTTTATGGAAAAATGCAAATATATTATTATATAAAATGGAATTTGCTTTTTAATAGCATTAAATAACAATTTAAGAAACACTTGTGGATATACACTACTGGCCATTAAAATTGCTACACCAGGAAGGCGACACACCACAAACGTGAAATTTGCAGGAGGGATAAAGTATGTTGTGATATGCAAATAATTAGTTTATCAGCTCATTCCTGCAAAGCAGGCGGCAGTAGCGACACCTACAATGTGTATAAAAGAAGTGATTTGACAGTAAGTTTCTCATACAGAAATTGAATTTGAGCATTGTTCTTGAATAAAAAAAGTTTTTCTTATATTCTCGTGTAAGAAGGAGAAGTGCCTACCAGCACTCTTTGAGTTTGATCAAGGTCGAATTGTGGCCTACCGGGATTGCAGTTTATCATCCCGAAGTATTGCAGCTCGCGTTATTCGAGATCCCATGACTGTTAGCAGAATATGGATGCGATAGGTTCATGAGGGTCATGTAGAATGCTGTGCAGGATATCAGCGGGCCCCCATCACTAACAGCCGAGAAGACAAACATTCTATCCTCGTGGCCTTACGGGATCGTACAGCTATGTCATGATCCCTCAGTCAACAAATGGGGTCATTTGCAAGACAACAAGTGTCTGCAAGAACAGTTTGACGACATTTGCAGCAGCATGGACTGTCAGCACGGGGGCCATGGCATCGGCTACCCTTGGCAGTACATCACAGGCAGGAGCGCCTCCAATGCTCAACCTGGACGCAGGAGTGGAATGACGTCGTCTTATCAGACGAATCTAGGTTCTGTATACAGCATCATGATGGCCGCATCAGTGTTTGGCGACATCGTGGAGAATGCCCAGTGGCAGCTTGCATTCGATATTGTCATACTGGCCCATCACCTGAAGTAATGTTATTGGGTGCCATTGGATACACGTCTCAATCACCTCTTGTTCACATTGCCGGCACTTTGAACAGCAGCCGTTACATTTCTGATGTGTTAGAGACTTATTGTGCCTTATCTTCTAGGCTTCCATAACACTACGTTTCAGCAGGACAATGCACAGTGCGGGACAATGCACGTCGCATGTTGCCCGCACTGTCCTGCCCTTCCATGACTCAGAACATGTTCGCTTGTTGCCCTGGCCAGTACGTTCTCTTGATCTCTCACCAATTGAAAACGTCTGGTCAATGGTTGCCCAGCGACTAGCACACCAACACTCGTCAGTTACTACGGTCAATAAATTATAGCATAATGTTGAAGCTTTATAGACTGCTATACAATCTCTGTATTAGAATGCTATACAATCTCTGAATAACTGCTATTATTGCTGCCGGGGGAGGCTGCTCTGAGTACTTCTTCAGGATCTATACATCAATGAACATTTAATCACTTGTTCTGCCAACTATAATGTATGTGCCAAATAAATATCATTCTGTTATTTGCATTTCTTCCTGGTGTAGCAATTTTAATGGCCAGTAGTGTATTCGGAATGGTTGATTAGCAAAATAAAAAGATTTCTTTCTCTTTTTATTTTGTTTCAACTACCTCTTTTCACTCAACATAATTTAAATAAAAGTACAGAAATACCTGTCAGTTTTGATTTTTTGCTATATTTTTATACTGGGGCGTTTGCTACTTAATTAGTGGGTGATATATTTAATGTTGTTTTAATTATTTATTATCATTTGAAATTAAAGATATTGTGATCCATTCTAAAGTATTTTATGCTACTTCATATTATGTATATTTTATTTAAATATTTTTATGTTATTGTTTTGATTTTAAGGAATACAAATGTTTTTCTTTTGTTTATTATTTCCACTTGTTTTGTTGTTAAAATATTTGTAAAATAAAATTTAAAAAAATTATTTCTTTGAATATGATTATGTTTTTGCTTCTTTTAATTAACCTTTTTGTCATGTAGACAGAACTAAAAAGCATATTTATAATGATTGTTTTTTATTTTAATTATCAGGAATACAAATTAGAATTTTTAAATATTTTTATTTTGTTTCTTATTTGCATTTTGTTTTGTTGTTAAACTATTTGTAAAATTAAAATAAATGTTTCTTTTGAATTTGACTATGTTTTAAAATACCCTCTTATTAATAATCTTAAGGAGACAAATCTAAAAAGCATGTTTTTAATGACAAAATAATAGTTTGATTATAATCTGTTTAAAACTTTATTTCTGACTTATTATTTGGCACTAATTAGTTGTTGCAATAATGTTTGATTTAACTTTTGTTTTTATTGAATTTAACTTTCTTTTTTACCTCTTGAAAATACATGAAAAAAGTAATAGACTTTTTATAGCAAAAATAAACTTATAATAGCAAAAATTTAATTAAAAAATTATGCACTTACTGCAAAAAGTATTAACCATGCAAGAGCAAGATAAAGGAAAACAATTATTTATTTAAAATACTTAGAAATTTTGATTTAAAATTTTAGTCGTGTAAGCGCAAATTTTTTTTTTTTGACATTTGTAACAGAGTGCTTTTCATTTTCTATAAGTTTGTGTGAATGCAGAAAGTTCTTCATCGTTCAAAGGCTTTCTGAAAATTTTGACACTGGTTGTTGTTCCTATTTGCTGTCTTAATCAGTATCATCCGTTTCTGCAACCATTTCTTAAATCAACAACTTCAAAAGTTTCACCATATTGATGCATAAACATTATAGATAATGCTCCGAAATTAAACAAACCCTCATTTTCTTCTTTTTTATCAGCAGCAACAGTTACTATTTTTCGTATCAAAACAAAATAATTTCAATATTTTTTTTATTATGTCGATTGAATTTCTAAATAATAGATGTGCGATCTGTTAGTTTCAAAAACTATCTAAACAGGCTTTATTAAGATTATAAGAGCAGAATTTGAGACTCAATTATTTAAACAAGACGATACATATAAAGAAATGAAAGATGCAGGAACGATGGATCGAGGTTTGACTGTATAAGTGTGGTTAAAAAAAAAAAAACTTTTACAATTAAAGTTTTTTCCCCCCATCAGTCTTTGAATAGAATCACTATTAAAGAAATGCAATAAGTTTGATTAAAATTTATTTCTATTAAGAAATATAAGGAACCTTATTGCTTTGAGTGCTTAATTTTAATATGGCAAATAAATCATTAATGTTAAAAGCAATAATGGTGTGAAGTTGAACATTTTAACTTAAAAAATTATTTTAAGCATCACTCCTTTTACTAGTATTGGAAGATTTTTAATGCAAAACGTAAATTTTTAACTCTAGAAGAAATTTTTAGTCAAGTTGAAGTCTAAGTTGTTTCATAAGGAAGAGGAAAATTTTGTATGAAAGAAAGTTCAAGAGTTAAAATTTTTTTAAAAGAATTCTATATTTGTGGAAAAAGAAAATATAAAAGTCTTTTTAATTCATTTAATTGAACTATTTTAAATGGAATGTAGTTACATTAGTAAATGTAAACAATTTTATTATAACTTAGCATTTTTACGCCATCAATTATTACTAATTTAAATAGACCATTCACATTCATGTATATATATAATTTTATTCAACTTTAAGATTATTAGTATAAGAAAGGTTTTTACGAAAAAAACAGCTTATTTTAATTATGTATTACATATCAATTCCAGTTTGAAAAGTAAATTTTGTTGAAGTTTTAAAGAATTCAGTTTATTTTTATACTTATAGTTTTTATGCATTTCTATTTGTTTCATTACTGATATTTTTTTCTCATCTGTAATTTTTGAACCTCAGTCTTTAGTATTACTTTGCAGCTTTTCTACACAACCAACTGGATTTCTCTTTGTTATTTAATAACCAGACAACTCAACTTAAAAATTTATTCAGCAATGGAACAGTAAATGGTTAAAATTTCATACTGTACCTTTAACTCATATATGTTGCATAAAAAAATTATACATTTTGCGATTATTTACTGGACATGTTTAGAAAACTGGTTTTTCAGGATCTTTTAGTTCTCCTTTTGAACTTAAACTAGAACATATTTAGCTTTTTACGAACTATAAATTCCTAATTTTGCGAATAGTAAATTTAATTATTCATGCATAATACTATTAGTTTTAGGTACCTATATGGAATTAAGAAGTAAAAACACCTAAAAGTTGCACCAATTTGGATTTTGTTAACGTTATATGCATTATTTTACCTCAGATTACTTATGCCGGTTCAAGAGTACGCATCTCTGCTTTATGTTTAAACTATGGGAGGAAAAATAAAAGATCCAAAGCAGCCAGTGTTTCTTACAGTTAATGCTTATTTTTTTCTGTCCACTAATTCTTCTTTTTCTTTTCTCTTTTTGCAGAAGAAGATCATGATTATGATCTGTGTAACTATCCTGGTAGTGATTCTCGTATTCACAGTGGCTGGATATCTAGGATTTTAATTCAACAGCTTGCTACATCTTACACTGTTATACTCATTCTACAATCACACTCTAGGGGAAGCAAATTTTCAAATCTTCTTTTCTTCTTTTTGCTTCTCCAATTGTGGGTTGCATGGGGAAAAATAACTTAGTTCACTAAAGGTGCCATTAATAAAAAAAACAGGTAGTGCTATTCCATATTCACAAATGAATGTAAATGAATTACTAAGATAGGGAAAATGTTTTAGACTACGAATCAAGAAAGTTAATGAGTTTGTAAAAGTTGAATGATAATTTACACTTTCTTATTTTAATTTGATGGATAAGAATTTTAGTTTAATTCAAAAATTTTTTTTTAATTTTAAACTCTTTTTGCATATGAGGTCAAAATTATGTAGTGTTGATAATACTGTGGGTCAAATGCTAAAATAAATAAAGTAATAAAACTTATATTTGCAATTTTGTCGCAATAAGTTCTAATTTTTTACACAAATCCAAAAATAGTTATTATCTTACAAAATATAAATAAAATATCTATCTATAAAACCTCTAAGTGTTCTTTTAGAAAAGTATTTTCACAATCGCTAGTTGTGAGCCAGAGGGACCGTGTACATTAAGACTCCCTTCTTTTGAGACCAACAACATGTGGGCGGCAATGTTGTTAGCATTGTGCAACGATTGCCATTACTTCCCATACAAGTTTGTACTCTTCAATTTGCTGGGTGGGTTTCAAGCTGCCACCAGTGATTAACCAGTACTTTACAAGAACAGCCCAGTGCCTGCGGCTTTGCGAGTCATGAATGGTGGTGCCCCATGTAGAATTTTATTTAAAATATGAGAACTAACAATGGTAGAATAGCATTTCTTCTAAGCAGAATGCCCTACAAAATGATCAGTTACATCAAGATCATAACAATAAATTATTACTAAAGGCGTTTGTAAACAGGGGAAGGGTCAGGAAGATGCATATAAACCTCATCTAGAAATCCAAATTTATTTATAATTAAATAAAAATTTTTTTTATTTAATTATGAAGGTGAAATTGACTGCTTATTAGTAGGGTTCCATCATCACCACCCATAATATAAGTTTTTAGAATCCTAGTTTATAATAAGTTCAAAAGATTATACATATTTGTGTTCTCAAATTAATATCTAAGAAATGAAAAAAATGCCATGATAAATAATGTCCCTTGCAGAAAAATAACTTGAGCCCTTATTGGACCCATATTTATGAATCTTAACTCAATAATGGAAAAAAGGTCAATATTTTTTGGATATTGACCCTAAATAGAATTGTTAGATTCACCTAATATTTTATAATCCATTATTCAGCCAATATCGGCCCAATATAGAATTGTCCATTTTACCTGATATTTTACAGTCACTTTTCAACCAACATCGGCTCTATGTAGAATTGTTATTGCTCAATATTAAGAGCCATTCTTTGACCAGTATTAGAAAATCTAGACATCCCAATATTGGTCCGTTGGTGTATGTTCTTACAGGACCCATATTGAGCCAATTTTGAGGCCAACTGGGGTCTAGGTAAAATTGTTGTTTTTGATGTTTACTAATAACATTTCTTTTTTAAAAAATTAAGATCCTTAATGTGCATTTTTACACACTTTTTGAAAAGTATTCAAGGGTGGTGAATATGGAATATTTTGCCTTAGCTAAATATCTAATTTTAATCAGAAACTTAAAATTCTTAAAAGTTTTTTGTTTCAACAAAATAGGCCTAATTTAGTTACCAGTTCCTAATTTAGTTACCAGTTCCTCATCATTTTAAAATCAAAAGTAAAATGAAATGTAAATTAGACTATTCTTTGCCAAAAAACTTAAAATTTGGATAAATTAATTGCTATTAATTTTTTCAGATATCTTTCTTATTTTTGTGGAACACAAAATGTGAAATAACAATCAAAATTTATAAAATCAGAAACATTAAACAGTAATTAGTACAAACAGTAATTATTAGGGTGGCAATACAAAACAAAAGGTGGAATTTCTTTAATCACATCCTTTGAAAAGGTGTCATTTGCCCTAAAACTAATATTCTAAAAGTTTTAGCTCACAAGAATAATATTTAGACCCTACTTCCAAAATAAAAACACGATTTTTCTCAAAAAATGTTATATTTTTTGCTATAAATTTCGATAATTGTACAAGTACACATATGGATTTAATTAGTAGTTAATAATGCTTTAAACTTAATCTTTTATAATTAAAATGTCTTCGTCAAATGAACAGATCGAAGGATAAAAGATATTTTTTCTAAAACTATACAAAAATATAAATTTAAGAATAGAAAAAATTTGCACACATTTAATTACTCTTGTAAAATGATTAAACTAAGAAACCATGAAAATTTTTTTAAAAATTTATAGTCTTTACTAAAATTTCTCAACTGTTTTTCAATCATCTGGATCAGATTTAAGAAGAAAAAATTAATTTAAATTATTAATTCTATTGAAATTATCACAAACGACGTGATATAAATGAGCCATCAAAATTTTTATTATTTTTTTAAACGTATATGTGATTTTAAATGCAATTCTGTCTTAATTATTCTAGTTTCTTAAGTGTATTTCTTATTCAGTTCATATTCATCACGTGACAATAGTTTTGAAGCCATTTTCATTTCTTTTTCAAGATTTTCGAAACCAAATAAATTTCAGGTTTGGATAATTTTAAGTCTTGACACAGACATTAGTCTTGACAAGTTAGATCATTAAACTAAAACTTCGTATCTATATTTTTAAAGACATCTATCTTGAGAAATTCATTTCTGAAAATAGAAATTTCTGAGGGTTTTTGCCATCCACCTAGCATGATGTATGGCACCTGAAAGCTATTTTATTTTGACCTCAGAAGGATATTTTGCTTGGTGTAGCGAATTCTATTAACATCAAGCATAATTACATGATTTCTTTGTAGTCTTCTCCAGCAAGATATATTTTGGGTTTTACAATTGCCCAGAAACAGCTGCTTAGCAACATTTTTGATGTTATATATATATTTTTTGGCCATCTTACCATTGATCTAATTTTTTTACTGGTTTTCGCTAATTTAAGGAGACCTTACCTTTCGCTAATTAAGGAAATCTTAGAAAATTTCAAGTTGAAGGCTTTTGGTTGATTCTATTTTTAAATCAAACTTAGATTTTGATGATGACACACAAGGTATTAGAAAGTTTTTCAAACGATTGCTCTTGCTAAATTCTTTACCGACTGTCATCTCTGAAGCAGAAATGTCCAAGTTGTGTTTGCATTTCTTCTGTTTTATCTTCGATCTCCATTTTTCTACTCCAGATGTACTACCACCTCAAGCAAACATCAAGGGTGAACTGAAAATTGTCTTAATTACATTTCATGAATGGATCTGTGGTAGGTGTTTACTATTTATTCTTTGAAAATATCTCTTTTCCTAGTGAAGATTTTAAAGTTTGATGATGCGATTTTTCATTTACTTTGTAGGCATTTGTTCACTCTCCTTTTTTTCCAAAAAGAATTAACATTTCTTTGATTTTCAGCCGTATTGCATCCCTTTGTTTCCATTTCAACTAGGTGGTTGATGTGGAATAAACTATGCAAAACTGGCCTCTTAGATGGCTAATTGCACACAGTATTTCATGGGATTTATACACTCTCAGGTAATCTTATCTTTCTAGATTTAAATTACTCTTACAGCTGAAGCAATTCAAAATTTTGTAAAAAGCTTGTATTTTTTTTAATATGCACGCTTTTTTTAAAAAAAAAATTAAACTTTCACTAAGTCATTTTTCGTTTAAAGCAAAAAATTCATTTATCTTGAAAAAGTCAGCATGTTTTTTGTATAAAAACTGTGGCATCGTACAAGTATTGCTGTAAATATGCTTAATATAGTAGAATAAAATTATGAAATAGCTGATTTTAGATTTTATAAAGCAATATACTATTTGAACTTACCTTATGGTATTTGCTCACGGAAGTTTAAACTCTTAACTTCTTTCATTTGTCAAAACTAAACAAATGTAAGTTGAAATAATGACTAAAAGTAATATTTTATTCTTATCCATCATAGATTTATTAATTTTCAAACCAGAAAAATCTCTAAACAATCAAGGTTAAACTTTAAAATTCCATTTGTGTTTGGCTCATTATTTTAGGGTTAATTTCAAAATTTTGCCTTTTTTTTCTGTTTTTGTTTGTTGACAATTTTCATCAAAATATTACACCAATTACATAAGTTAAGAAGTCTCTTACATTAATGTAACCTTTTGTTGAACGTGATATCTACAGAAATTATTAATACTACACTTTGTATTCAAGTGAAAACAACCAATTAAGATTATTTTTTAATAATTTATTTACTTACATTAATCACAAACTCTTTTCATCACACCAATTCTCTTTGCTAGAGTTTCTATAAGATCCATAAGAATAATACATCATTTGAAAAATCTGATGCAGGCAACAAAATCATTATTATCAATCTTACCTTGAGCCATTTTCTGACAGTTAACAAAATGTACAAAGATTTTTTTATACTTTTTAGAAAATTGAATTTGCTGAGAGGTTTTTAAAAGAAAGAAAAAATTGTATTTTTTTATTTATTTGTTTGACAAAGATGTTTCGATTACCAAAGTCTAAACTGAAAGCATTATCTACATCAAAAGTCCAGAATTTTTTTTCTACAACTGTTTGGATTTTATAGTGAAACTGCAATTTTTTGCGAAAAATATTTTTTTCTTTTTCAACTTTGACTCTTAGAGGCAGGGTATAAATGTTATTGAGCTGACTCATTTTGAATATTAATTTTTTACAAAATGGCACCATTTTAAGGTTTCTGGTACAGATTTAATGAGAAATTTTTCCCCATGTTTATAAAAATTCCCCATGTTTATAAAATCACCCTGGTAATCATGTAACAGTTTTAGAATTTTTTGTATATTTATTAGGCAGACAAAAAGTAATTTTTTTTTCAATAGTAACTTTAAGAACAAATATTTTAGAATTTTTTCTCAAACTAGTTTGATAAAGGTGGGATATTGAATAATAATAGCACTAGGGAATACATTTTTGTTGCATTTATACAAATATCTGATCTTGCCTAATTCGGGAGTGGGGATTTCAAATCTGAAATTAGTTTTGCTCATAAAGTTACAGATTTTTTTAAAACAGGGCATTATTAGTCTCTTTTTTTTATCAAAACGTACAAGTTAAATAACAAGGGATCGCATAAATTTTGTGACCAACTTCTAGGGGAGAAGGCCACATACTCAGGATTAAAATTGCATAAGAACTCGTGTTCAGAAGTAGTGTCATATTTGACTGTTTCCCCATTATGACCTGTTCAGAAGCACGTAAAGAAATAGTGTATAATAGGGAAGTGCCGATTTCCTGTATTATATGAAAATAATTGGATAAAACAGAAACGAAATCACTATGGCATTTCACTATGGAATCGAATTTTTCTCTCTTGCGTTTCGCATAAAAGGATTATTACTGTCAAAAATCACACATTCAATTTCAGAGTGCGCAAAAATTTCAAACTTTGAAAATATTCCACATTTGAGATGAAATTGACACGACTAAAGTGACTTGTAAAGTGATTATTCAAAAGCGTGATTTGGAATTCCCAGATAGTAATAGAATTATATAAATGAAATTGAAATTATTAAAGACTACGGAAGTCCAAAACTGTTAAAAAAACGCATGAAACCATGTCACAATAAAATCATCCTAAACTAAGTCCATCAAAAAGTAATTCTTCACATTCTCAGTTCCTAATTTCCGGTGCATGATAATGTAGCATTAAAAAACTATGAATATCCACAGCAATAACTGACAAAAATGTGATTGTAAAACCATGTGGGATTGCAGGTGAATTGTGAACAATTTAGTGCCAAGTTCATAATTCGAAATTTGGTGGACGAAATATCGTATTAAAACATTGAGATTTTAAATTCCAAGTGAAATTCCATTTTAATATTTACTGATAAAACAATTGACAAAACCACAGAGATCCCTTGTGGAACGTCATTAATCGAGTGGATTAAGAAATGATTACTAACTGAAGTGAATTATTCGGAATTTGCGGTATGTTATAATAATGAGATTTTAAAAACCAATATGATATCTGTAACAATAGTTGCTAAAAATAGAGATTGGAAAACCACATGGATTTATACGTTGTTGATTAAAATTGCTGTATTTATCGTCTAATTGTTATATTTTATTAAATAAGGTTGCCGAAGTCCCGACAAGCAATAATTTAAACGAATTTCTCTTTATAAATCAATTAGAATCCTAAAAATATTTTAATATGACACTACTAGTAAAATGGCCCTATAAAAGGTTAGTGAACAATATAATAAAAGTTTTCAAGGATTTCAAGTTTCAATTTTTTTAATAATTACCAGGAGAGTAAATTCTAAAACTGCATTAGAAAGTTCTAATTTTTAACGAACGTAAAACTTTTCTTTAGGAACATTTTCTAAAAGGAAAATATCAGGTTTAAGAATTTCTCCGCATTTTTCATAGTAAGGGACATAAAAACTTATTACAAGATAAGAATTTGGCGTTATTTCTACTTCAACTTGAAAAGAAGGATTTAGTGTTTACAACAATGATTGAAATGAATGTCTTAAAATAAGTTGGAGCAATTTAAAATTAACAACGAAATAAGAAATTCCGTGTAATTTAATGAAATTTTTAAAATCACCTTTATAATCCAATCTATCAACGTTTTGAATGACCAAACAATGAATTAAATCATTTTTCTCCTATTCAGCTGAGCTTAAGTTAATTTGGTTGGCAGATGAAAATATTTTCCAACCAGCTATATTTCTAGCTAAGTATGGCTTTCTAACCAGTGTTGCCAGAACAAAATATTTGAATTGAACAGGTCGATTAGGACTACGATCATATAAATCAACGTCTTTTGATCTGTAATCTGGCAAACCACTTTCTGTTGACTCTCCAGAGTCTAAACAGACATTTGTAATTTTTTATAAAGTTTTGAAAAAAAGAAATACTTTCAGAATTGCAAGAGTCTTGCTAAAGAACTAATTTCAGATTTAAATTCCCTTTTGATAAACGTAAATATGTTCAGAATATTTGTTTTTTTTACGCTATTCATAGGAAAATTTCGTAATCCATTGATCGCAAAAATATAACTTATTTCGTCTGCTATTTATAAGAAAGCACAGTTACAGTTTAAAATTGTATCTTTTTTTATTAAGATTTTAAGTAGTATAAATACTAAAATGTTTGTAGATTTATGTGTTTAATATACTTTTTTATATTTTTAGTATTATTTTAAATATTTACAATATTAATTTATAAGCGCAATATGCATAAAAGTCATAATTTTTAAATTTCAATTAATCTTAGCATTTGTAATCGGGAAAGATTTCTTGACTTCCTCTTTGTATAATGTATCCAATGTGTAACGTAAACAAAATTGAAACTCCTATTCATAAAAATATTTTCATATTACAAATATTAGTACTGATGTAATGGGGATTTCCATGATGCCACGCCTATTTAAATAGTTTATTTTATGTTTCTTGTTGAACAGAATCAATTGTAGATGTCGCTTCGTCCCCGTCGGCCGGCTGTGCTGACAGAAAATCGATGAAAAATAGTGCTGTGTTGGTTTCAATAATGTGTATAGTGAAAATTTTTCAATTTTTATGGTGATTAGACTCTTTAAAACATCTATAAAATTTCTTGGTGATAATATAAACTCATAAAGTATATCAACATGACTAAGGATAGACTTGCAGCGTTGAAAGCGGTAAGTTTACCGTTTTTAAAAATATACTGTAATATTATAGCTAGCCGGCTATTTTAGAATTGAACAGATTGTAGCAAACTTTTATTAAAATCAGAAAAAATATAAAGTAAAATCGGAAAAACTCTCTTTTTTGAGTAATTTAATGTCTGTATTTAACAATAATTAAAAGATTTCACGGAAGTATTTCTCTGAGTTATTGCTTTGACATATATCTATTGGAGGCGTTTTCAATGCTGCAACTTTTTAAGATTCAATACATTTGATCGTCTGTGAAAGTAGAGAATCAAAAAATTGTATTGAAAGATACAATAAAATGTTCAATGATGTTATTTCTCGTTTGTTTTTGTTCTCAATTATATATTTGTGTAATTATTAATAAAATTTGTTTGATTTCGTTTAATCCTTTTTGGAAATCTTTTT